TGCCATTGTGCACCTTCTATTTTCTATTTGATCTGACACTTCTTTCTGGTTTCCCAGCGCAAATCATGGACTTTGCCATTATAATCATATGGGAGGCGGGGATATAATTTAGTGAGTTCAGTGCTCACAGCACCTTTAGCTGTTATCTCCCCGTAATCGAAGTTTCGGGGGTATGTAGTTTTTGTCCTGTCCGTCAGTCTTTCTGTTTGTCTGCAAAAAAATTAAACCTTGCCCACAACTTTTGACTGGGTTGGATTATGGCTTACACATTTCACAGGTGTATTCTTTGTAACAAGACCTTTCTTTGGGTACCACCAAATTGGAGTTTGACACACTTTTTACACCAAAAACTTTTACTTTGGCCATAACTTTTGAACGGTATATGCTAGGACTTTTATACTTCACATATGCATTTTTTGTGGCAAGACCTTTCATTGAATACCAACAACTTTGACCTTGACTTTGGAGATTTCCTTACTTATGAAAAAAACTTTAACCTTGGCCATACCTTTTGAACAGTAAGGGCCAGGGATTTCATACTTCACATATGTATCCTTGTGAGAAGACCCTTCATTGGATACCAAGAACTTTGGATCTTTGATCTTGTAGTTTGACCTCCTTTGAAATACAATCCTTTACCATAACTTTCAGAGGGTAGGGCTAGTGCTTTAATTCTTAATTACATATTTAATCCTTGTGACATTAGACCTTTCTTATTAAGAATCCAACAACTTTGGCCCTTGAAGTTTGACCCATACCTTAACTTTCAAAATCTTATCCTTGGCCATAACTTATATTTCTGAACAGGTGGTACTATATTAAATAAGAATCTTCGCTATGTTGCTTTCATGTTTCATTATATGCTCAATTATATATAGTTTTTGCCAGTGAAAAACTTAAACCTTGAAGACCCTACTTTTTCACAGATATATTCCAATATATTAAATTAGCATAATCTTCGCTATATTGCCATACGGGGGCATCAGTGTTTCACAAACACATCTTGTTTACAAAACCAATCCCCCGTAATCATCATTACATACATGTACACACACATATATAATATAAAGTCAACATCTCAATTTTCTAATCTACATGTTCCCCGCTTGACTACTCTTGAATAAAGATAATTTTGGTAAATGGTACTTCTAGTATAGTCACGATCTACATCTACTGCCCATGTGTGATTTTGTGATTCCTTTCCGGCACTCGCTACAAACTTGAAAGTACATGTACTTTACGCCCTTTCATCCTTAGAAGTTACAGTGAAAAAGGGTTTCTCACTAAATATATCACGAGATTGTGAGGGGAAATATGACTAAATTATTCCTGAAAATAATTTTGCGGACAATGTTCACATTCAGTTTTACCTCCACTATTTATATTTTTTCTCAGCGATCCATTCATATTTTGAAATACGATTAAAAGTGTATTGTAGATGTGCAGTAACTGTAAGGTTTGGTAAGCTTTTCATCATGGGGGCAACTGGGGGATGAAAAAGTCTTTTTTCCTACAAAACCTGGTTCCAAAAAAAATCTCGTACAAGTTCTTGCAGTAGTCGATTCATCTTTTGGAATGTGATTGGGAGTACCCAGTAAATGTGCGATAAGGTTTCATTCAATTTACGTTGTTTTTTCTTCAAAACTTGGTTTCTTGAACTCTTAACTTATTCTGAAGTAGTCTAGTTATATAATAAGAACATGATTGGGAGTGTCTTAATTGTAGAAAATCCGGATTTAGCATTTCAATTTTCACCCTGGGGCGATGGCGGTTAAAAAGTGTCGATTTCCTACAAAATCCTTGTTCCCAGATAAGTTATATTCTACCAGAGAACATTTTGATTAAAATGCAAATCGTTCATAAAATATATTTCAAGAAAAGCTTTGCTTGCTAAGCACAACAGAGTTGTAATCACGTGGTGTATAGTCACGTGATGAGTGTTTTCTAAACAGAGCGTGATGTGAACAGATTACATAATTGATGAGGCATCAAATACCGACCGGCTGATGACACACTTCCTATGTATGATATACAATAACTGTCTATGTAACATTGTTACTCATATACTACAGAGGGGAAAAAATGAAAGGAACATCGACCTCAGAATTTCCGAGTTATGAATGAAATACCTAACTTTAGAAGATTTTTTTTTATAACGAAACATCGAATCTTGTAAATTTATTGATAATAACAAGGGGCTGTGTCTAAAATTTGTTTATGGCTAGGTATCCACTTGCCAGTGTATTTTGATTATTGTCGGGTATCTCATATGACGAAGAACCATGTTTCATATGTGCTAGCTGAGGGAAACCGTTTATCAAAGGCGTAATTCATATTAATTCAGGTTTTATTAAGTGCTCATCTTCACCTTCTTTAACTCTTTAATTGTGGAAAAGCCACTGACCTAGTAAAAACAAAAATGACATTAAGTTACAAAGTCACAGGAGACCTTGATATACATTATCTTGTAACAATTGTCAGAAAGCTCATCATCACCGAGGTTATTGACCTTTAAGGTGGGTTTACTGAAATTTTAAATAACATTAAGGATTGACATCCGCTTGTCACGCCGGTAATGTTAGGGTCGGGTTCGAATGACAGACTTGATCTGAAGATGTCAAAGAGCATGAATTGGCAGTTTTGTAAGACCTTTTATGTCTTAAAAGCTTCTTATACTAATACATAATTTATCAAAGCATTTGATGAGAATTAGATTAATTAAAATTTTTCCATGCCTTAAAAGTAAAATGCCGTGATTGGTGAAGTACGACATGTACTAATTAATTTTCGTTCACTTGTCAATTTTTTATAAACGTGTAATTTAATATAATTTTATCAGTATTTTAATCTGAGAACTGGATTTTTAGGGGTGGGGGCTAGTATACAAGCCTCGACTTTTACACTTTTATGAAGAAAATCCATGTCCTACTTAACTAGGCATAAAAAAGTAACTGTAAAATTATGATCATCGATACAAGGACCAGCAACACAAGATGATCGTAAAACAAATTCCAGAAATTCGTTAGCGTAATGGGGTTATTCTATTTGTACTCAGTCAAAGCGCTCCCAAAGCACGTGTTCGCTATACATTTATTTGAGGTTAGAATGATACCGTTAATAGTTCATAAAAAGGATCGCCTCTAATATTCGATCCACTTTGTGATTTGAAAACTCTTCCCCATCTTGAAATAAAATTTGTCAAGCATAAGGGAGTCTAATTAAATACGTGCCAGCATCATCATTCCGCTCGCTTAAGTCACGTGCTTGTTCCTTTTTTTCAACATGCTGGGTTAGCACGATTTCAATTCATTAATCATGAAATTCGACGTGTTCAACATTCGATCAACATTAGATCATAAGACAACAGTACTATACAGCTACCATGGTACCTTTCAGATCTATAGTATCTAGAAGGGGGGGGGGTAAGTTTTTTTTTTACAGAAACTCTTTATCCCAAACATCGACCGAAGGCTGCAACAAATAGATGCCGTGGTTCTTCCGAGTCAATATTAAGAGGGCTGGAATCCAGCCGCTGGATGGTTATTTTCAGACTACATTGATCTCCTTTATGAAGATATATGAAAATGAACAAATTTTTAAAAATAAAAGTATATTATAATAGTTGAGAGCTTAACATATCATATCTTAAAAAATAAGCTATGTCTGATGGTTAATTTGTTGATCCCCCCCCCCCCGCCTCCTTAAGAACATGAATGATAGAGCTGTAAATAACACTAGTTAACCCCAGTAGGTACACATGCATTAAATACAATTTACTTGAGTGTAAACATTTAAGCCATTCATGTTTTAAGTGTAGGATGATCTCTGTATTTGGACTTTATCCAATACCTACTATAGTAACTGATGACATAGTGAGAGAATGCTAACGAGTTGGAAGTCGTGGGTTTTAATTCCTCATGTTTTCGCAATATACATGTAGGTACCCTGTATTAACCTGTGACTGAGAGTAAGTGGGCGGTCCACCTGCTCAGGTGACGGAGTCCAGGTAATGTCCACTAGGAATTGAACGTTCACATAAACAACCCGTGACGTACTTCATCACAGGATAAATACTCTCCACAGTAGATGCTCCCTCATCACCAACACCCAGAGTGTACCAATCTCCACACTGACGTAACTATATACTTAGACGATCAAAACCTTAGAACGTATCCAATGAGCCGGACCACGTCAATCGAGTTGACGCTGAAACAGTGTATATTGACATGTTTCCCATAAGAAAATACATCTTGAAGTGTTAACAATGACCTAGTAGGCACGTAACATCGGGGGAGGGGGCTGCCCCCCTTTTCCAACACTGTTCAAAATGCTCCTTGAAAGGCGAGGTACTCCCCCTGCTGATAACCCGTTAAGAATATCACTATTTGACCTCATCAGAATACTACCGTGACAAAAAATAAACACCCTCATACTAGAATTTGTAAACAAATATCTATATTTATTCATCAGATGTTTTAGCTTATTCATGATTAGCTCATCCGATGTAATAATATCCTTTGTTCATATATGTATATTTCAAATTCTTAATTAATCTATTAATGAGTGAATAATCATTTTACATAAATTGGCGACAAGAAAATCCTTTATATAATTAACATAGGAACATGAAAGGTCGCCTTTCATTATGAATTCGACTAGTTTTGAAGTCTGGGAAATTGATTTATCATTATATTCTATTGACAGTTTGATTAATTCACAAAGAATTGTCTACAGTCTGTCTCTAAAAATGATATTTCAGGGAAAATGAAGAGGTCACCAAAATTATGCTTGTCCCTTCTAAGAATTCTCCTCCCCCCATTTCCTTCCAAGTAGAATCCTCTCGAGGCAATTATTACATTGGAAATCCAATCTATATAAACAACATAAATAATATATTTTTGTTTTCTCTCAAGAAATTAAAACTGTTGAAAAAATACAATGTTTACATTAAAAACTTTGACAATAAAAGACAATTAAGAAAAATATGATTTAATGTGCAATTTATTTACAAAGGTAACACTGTAAACATAATGTAATGCATTGTAAAGCAAGAACAATTATAAACATGATGTGAAGTAAGCACTAATTAAGATGTAAATTTGAGGAAGAAAGGCATTTCATAGCCTAAACAATAATAACTTATTCTAAAAATATATTTTGTATGGAAATACTTTCAATATCACAGCTCTTTATACAGAGTTAATTCTCACTTGACCGTCCTCTGTATTTTATCATTATCCATTGGTATAACCATGCTTACGATAAATCCAATATTCAAAATACGAATTCCAACTTATTCACAGCATTTTATATAGTCACAGTTCATTCATCCAATATCATATATATTCCTAAAGGTTTAGATGATTAGATCCATGTCTCCTAACTTTGCTTGTTCAACTCAAGGTCTCTCTTTAATCTGCAGAAGACCCAGGTTTACATGGCGATCCCTTAGTGACCTTGACCTCAGTCTCCATTTGACCTTTGACCTCTTCCACTGTATCTCCTTCCTGTGTCATCTTCCACTCTAGGCATTTCCTGACCTCCAGTCCAATAAACCGAGCCATGGGTGGTGGCACCGCATTTCCAACCTGTAAGAAGGGATAATCATCATGTTGACATGAAAATAAATCCTGTTTGACAATTTATCTCATATTTCTTACAGACATGATTTCTGTCTAACAATTTTTTGGAGCTTCTCCCTCCCTTCTTGTTGTTGGGAGTAAGTGTATAGGAATAACTAAGTCTGTTGGAAACAAGTCTGAAAGTCGGCAGCCTAATACGCATCAACCTTTAATTAAAATTAAGTCACCATATGGCTTATAATCATTTGGGAATTGACTTCTCCCTAAAACTGTTCCCTGGTCATTAAGCCAGAATAAGAATGTCAATGTTAAGGTTACTGGAGTAGGAAAAGCAAGGACAGTGTGCGTTTTGTGAGTCCAAATCAGTTTTTCTACAGTTGATAACCTTTTTTTAATTTCTTCATCCTACTTCCCACATAACAGTTTACATGGTGAGTAATATTTTTTGATGAACATCCTTAACTTTGTGTAATTATCACATCATTACGTGGATTGTGTGACATAAATAAACTACATGTATTAAACACCTGACTCCTACCTTGTATACAGGCCGCTGTGTGACTTACAAGTCATAACTCTCTCATTAACACCTATATATGGGTTAGTCCTGGCCACTTAAGTGTCCAAGTAACCATCCTGATTAACACCAGTATATGGGTTAGTTCGGGCCACTTAAGTGTCCAGTAGAGGGCCACTATTTGTCTAGGTTAGGGATCTGATTTACATCTGTATGTGGGTTTGATTTGGGACCACCATTTGTCCAGATTAGGGATCTGATTTACATCTGTATGTGGGTTTGTTTGGGGCCACCATTTGTCCAGGTTAGGGATCTGATTTACATCTGTATGTGGGTTTGATAGGGGCCACCATTTGTCCAGGTTAGGGATCTGATTTAAATCTGTATGTGGGTTTGATAGGGGCCACCATTTGTCCAGGTTAGGGATCTGATTTACATCTGTATGTGGGTTTGCATGTGGGTTTGTTTGGGGCCACTATTTGTCCAGGTTAGGGATCTGATTTACATCTGTATGTGGGTTTGTTTGTGGCCACTATTTGTCCAGGTTAGGGATCTGATTTACATCTGTATGTGGGTTCGTTTGGGCCACCATTTGTCCAGGTTAGGGATCTGATTTACATCTGTATGTGGGTTTGTTTGGGGCCACCATTTGTCCAGGTTAGGGATCTGATTTACATCTGCATGTGGGTTTGTTTGGGGCCACCATTTGTCCAGGTTAGGGGACTGATTTACATCTGGATGTGGGTTCGTTTGGGGCCATCACTTGTCCAGATTAGGGATCTGATTTACATCTGTATGTGGGTTTGTTTGGGGCCACCATTTGTCCAGGTTAGGGATCTGATTTACATCTGGATGTGGGTCCATCACTTGTCCAGGTTAGGGATCTGATTTACATCTGTATGTGGGTTTGTTTGGGGCCACCATTTGTCCAGATTAGGGATCTGATTTACATCTGGATGTGGGTTCGTTTGGGGCCACCATTTGTCCAGATTAGGGATCTGATTTACATCTGTATGTGGGTTTGTTTGTGGCCACCATTTGTCCAGGTTAGGGATCTGATTTACATCTGGATGTGGGTTTGTTTGGGGCCACCATTTGTCCAGATTAGGGATCTGATTTACATCTGGATGTGGGTTCGTTTGGGGCCACCATTTGTCCAGATTAGGGATCTGATTTACATCTGTATGTGGGTTCGTTTGAAGCCACCATTTGTCCAGGTTAGGGATCTGATTTACATCTGGATGTGGGTTCGTTTGGGGCCACCATTTGTCCAGATTAGGGATCTGATTTACATCTGTATGTGGGTTTGTTTGGGGCCACCATTTGTCCAGGTTAGGGATCTGATTTACATCTGTATGTGGGTTTGTTTGTGGGTTTGATTTGGGCCATCATTTGTCCAGATTAGGGATCTGATTTACATCTGGATGTGGGTTCGTTTGAGGCCACCATTTGTCCAGGTTAGGGATCTGATTTACATCTGGATGTGGGTTCGTTTGAGGCCACTATTTGTCCAGGTTAGGGACCTGATTTACATCTGGATGTGGGTTCGTTTGGGGCCACCATTTGTCCAGGTTAGGGACCTGATTTACATCTGGATGTGGGTTCGTTTAAGGCCACCATATGTCCAGGTTAGGGACCTGATTTACATCTGGATGTGGGTTCGATAGGGGCCACCATTTGTCCAGGAAAGTGGGTCTGATTAACATCTGTTTATGGGCCATTTATGTTACCTGTGTTTCCAGGTAAGGGACCTGATTTCTACCCACCTGTCTGTGTTTGTCCAATATGCTGCCAAAGAATCTGTAGGTGTCTGGAAATCCCTGAGATCGAGCGCACTCTCGCACGCTCACCACTCGGTGCTGCTCAGGGTGTAACACTCTACCCTGTAAAGACATCAACAAATCACTTCTTTAGTACTGACTTTAAGGGGGATGTTTTTACAGAAGGGAAGACAAACAAAAATGTAAACAATTTTGTTTTTCATTAACTCTGAAGACAGTAAAAAGACAACTAAGACATGTGGTCTGTTATTGCAGGATATGACAGAAAAATATGAGAAATGAAAATTTTACCTTAGGCTAGCTATATGATCACAAAAATGAATAAAATAAACTTGAGAATTTCTTGCAAGATGAAAAAAAATCTTTTGAAAGAAAAGACATTTTAAAAATAATAGAAATTTTTACATCAATCTCTGACATACTTCCCAGACCATGTTCAAAGTGTCCATAGTTTTAACCTGATCCCATTGGCTCTGGATTTGTTAAGTGAGCTTCTAACCTTTTTTTCCATTCGCTCTGGGTTAGTGACCATAATCTATAATGTTTAACCATTGGTTCAGGGTTAGTGACTGTAATCTAACCTGTTTTCCCATTTGCTCTGGGTTAGTGACCATAATCTATAATGTTTAACCATTCACCATTGGTTCAGGGTTAGTGACTGTAATCTAACCTGTTTTCCCATTGGCTCTGGGTTAGTGACTTTGATTTTCACTTGTTTTCCCATTTGTTCAGGGTTAGTGACTGTAATCTCACCTGTTTTCCTATTGGCTATGAGTTAGTGAGTGTTATCTAACCTGTTTTCCCATTGGCTATGAGTTTTAGTGGGTGTTATCTAACCTGTTTTCCCATTGGTTTTATTCAGTTAATTTGATTCTAACCTGTTTTCCCATTGGCTCTGGATTGGTGACCGTGGTGCTGAAGAATCCGTCATACTGAAGTCTTCCGTACAGCCCGGCCCAATGATTGTGTCTGTTGCCTGTGTGTGGGAGACACCAGGGTACTAAGGTATTGAACTGACGGTCCATCGTCTCACACTGCTTCCCTTCAGCACAGGAACACACGCCCCTCAGACAGCCAGTAGAACTCCGCCCATTCTTCTTGTCATGGTGGGTGTACTGCCTGAAATAGACAAGAAACCAAAAGTCTCTGATTAGACGGTAACTCTACAGGTTTTTTACTTAATTAACAAAGATAGTGAAAGGGAAATTAGACTTGAGACTTTGACTACAGCAATAAATAGAATAATGATCCTTGCTTTAGTCTACTTCTTTATTCAAATTTTATTGCAAATGAACAAAACTCTAGGAGAACTAGCATTTGAATTGAATTTCACAAGATTTCTACTTTTAGTAATGTTGTGAGATGTGTATTGTTTCATTATGTATATAATTAGTAACATTAAGTTTCTTGAACATTCCAGAGTGGTCAACATGTTTGGTCATTTTATCTAGAACATTCTTAAATTTTGTGTATGTCCAGATTGTTCCAGTAATATCATGTTTTAACAATTTCTAGAATATTCTAGATTTATATTACTGTATAAATACCCTGTCAATTCGATGCATAAAATAATTTGTCGTATAAGCACTATTGAGATATAAATGGGATATATTTTCACTGGGACATTGTGTGCAGCAACGGACACTCTGATGTATGTATTTTTAGATTCTTGCTAAGTTTGTACTTTATGTTTCATATACTTATTAGGTCTTTCCACCTTTCTGTGGAAAGACCTATTGATTTTCTTCTGTTTATTATTATTATTATTATTATTATTATTCTTCCGCTGATTTTTTGTTTCGACATTTATCGAAAAGACTTTTTGTTCATCGTAAAGGTCATTAAAAGTTAGGAACAAATTTGACCCAACGCGTATGAACTATGACGGCTTTTGAAGTTATTGCCCCTTTCGCAAGAAATGCTTGTTATCGCTACTCCTTTGAAACCGTAAACCGTAGAGGTATGAAACCTTCACCAATGTCTTGGATTAATTGAGAGGACTCTGGAATCTATTCATTGCAAAAGTATTCGGTGACTCCTTCAATGAGTTATTGCCCCTGAAAGTCTTAAAGCTGACAAGAAAAATTAAAAACTTTTAAAGGACAAGTGGTAAAGATATGGGACCAAGTGCATGAGATCTTATGACCTTTGACCTTGAAAAGTTGGTCAAGGTCAAAGTCATTGGAAAACTAGAGAAATGGTCAATTTAAGCTTAAAATCCAAAAGACCTTGACCTTTGACCTTGAAATTTGACATTGACCTTGACCTCTGACCTTGACCCTTACTCAAAAGGTAATAAAGAAATATTCATTACCTTTATCTAGATTCAGCTTCAAGTGTTAATCTCAAGTTTACCTCTCTCTCTCTCTCTCTCTCTCTCTTTTTGGATGACCTTGACCTTTGACCTTGATAAATGACCTTGACCTTTGACCCCATTGACCCATAGGTCACAATCAAGCTAAAGGTCGTGGAGTTATTTACAACCATCACTCTAACAAATGCTTATAAAATATCCCCCCCCCCCCCTTATAAAAAAAAATAAAATCAACACCAACTTAGAGAAAATGTCTACAAGTCAAACGAAACGAAATATCGACATAAGATTCGTAATAAAAGGAAGAAGAGACCTGAAAGAAAGTGTCTTGAGAGTTTTAAGGTGAGTCTCTAAAGTACAATGAAATTCTAGTGAATATCGGCAAAATCTGCATTTTTTTTCTGTCTGAAATTAAGTTATTGCTGAGCATAAAAATTAATTAAAGCTCGTATTGGCTATTTCTGCAATTTTGGTTAATATCATTCGATTCTCCTGCTCTATTACGACATTTTGATACCAAGTATTCTTGCTTTCTTAGGTGTATGGAATTTATTTTAATTTTATTTAGATTTAAATATGAATCGGCTGAAACTCGGAAATAGCGATTTTTCATATAAAATAAATTTGCACGCTCTCCGTGACACCGCCTTCTTCATGAAATGCATGTTTCAAGTTTAATTTATGCTCATAATTTTCAATTCAATGCAAATAGAGATGATTATTTAATCTAACCTATGAGTTCGCCATTTCTGTCAAAACGAACGCGCCTATATTTTCACAAATTGTAAACACAGTGCCGACACGGAAGTTCGAATGTATCATAAGCTCTGTATGATTAACTCAATCTATTCAAACTATAAACAAACTCAATTTTTTTTTTGTACAGGAAATCTCTATTTTCATTATCCACCAATCGTTTTTCTCGAAACTATTCATTATTCCTCTCTATGTTCCATAACAAACAAATAAATACACGTGTTTCTGTACTATTTTTATTTAAATCCACGTGCTTTCATTTCTTCTTTTTTCTTCACTCTTAGTTTACGGAAAACAATGTCATCGGAGCCTGTGGTGTAGTGCGTAGAGCGCTCGCCTGGCAATCCGAGGGCTGAGGGTCCACAGTTCGAATCCTGCTGGCAGCACTTATTAATTTTTTTTTTTCTGGTTTTTGGGGTTTTTTTTTTTGTTTTTCTTTTTAATTCAAATGACATGAAAACTTAAAAGAAAGGTGGAAAGACCATTAATTGTTCAGTGAACAATTAGTCTACTAGTGTTAAACTACAATGTAGACCAAACATAGCCCCCGAAACTTTCGTATTGCTACGCCTTCAAAACCATTAACCGTAGGGATGCGAAACCTTAAACAGTGTCTTCCACTACTTTAAATACTTTTTTTTTGACCTTCAAGTTTAGGTCAAGGTCAAAGGTCAAGGTCATTCATTTTTAGGTCTTTCCACCTTTCTGTGGAAAGACCTATTGATTTTCTTCTGTTTATTATTATTATTATTATTATTATTATTCTTCCGCTGATTTTTTGTTTCGACATTTATCGAAAAGACTTTTTGTTCATCGTAAAGGTCATTAAAAGTTAGGAACAAATTTGACCCAACGCGTATGAACTATGACGGCTTTTGAAGTTATTGCCCCTTTCGCAAGAAATGCTTGTTATCGCTACTCCTTTGAAACCGTAAACCGTAGAGGTATGAAACCTTCACCAATGTCTTGGATTAATTGAGAGGACTCTGGAATCTATTCATTGCAAAAGTATTCGGTGACTCCTTCAATGAGTTATTGCCCCTGAAAGTCTTAAAGCTGACAAGAAAAATTAAAAACTTTTAAAGGACAAGTGGTAAAGATATGGGACCAAGTGCATGAGATCTTATGACCTTTGACCTTGAAAAGTAGGTCAAGGTCAAAGGTCAAGGTCATTGGAAAACTAGAGAAATGGTCAATTTAAGCTTAAAATCCAAATGACCTTGACCTTTGACCTTGAAATTTGACATTGACCTTGACCTCTGACCTTGACCCTTACTCAAAAGGTAATAAAGAAATATTCATTACCTTTATCTAGATTCAGCTTCAAGTGTTAATCTCAAGTTTACCTCTCTCTCTCTCTCTCTTTTTTTTTTGGATGACCTTGACCTTTGACCTTGATAAATGACCTTGACCTTGACCCCATTGACCCATAGGTCACAATCAAGCTAAAGGTCGTGGAGTTATTTACAACCATCACTCTAACAAATGCTTATAAAATATCCCCCCCCCCCCCCCTTATAAAAAAAAAATAAAATCAACACCAACTTAGAGAAAATGTCTACAAGTCAAACGAAACGAAATATCGACATAAGATTCGTAATAAAAGGAAGAAGAGACCTGAAAGAAAGTGTCTTGAGAGTTTTAAGGTGAGTCTCTAAAGTACAATGAAATTCTAGTGAATATCGGCAAAATCTGCATTTTTTTTTCTGTCTGAAATTAAGTTATTGCTGAGCATAAAAATTAATTAAAGCTCGTATTGGCTATTTCTGCAATTTTGGTTAATATCATTCGATTCTCCTGCTCTATTACGACATTTTGATACCAAGTATTCTTGCTTTCTTAGGTGTATGGAATTTATTTTAATTTTATTTAGATTTAAATATGAATCGGCTGAAACTCGGAAATAGCGATTTTTCATATAAAATAAATTTGCACGCTCTCCGTGACACCGCCTTCTTCATGAAATGCATGTTTCAAGTTTAATTTATGCTCATAATTTTCAATTCAATGCAAATAGAGATGATTATTTAATCTAACCTATGAGTTCGCCATTTCTGTCAAAACGAACGCGCCTATATTTTCACAAATTGTAAACACAGTGCCGACACGGAAGTTCGAATGTATCATAAGCTCTGTATGATTAACTCAATCTATTCAAACTATAAACAAACTCAATTTTTTTTTTTGCACAGGAAATCTCTATTTTCATTATCCACCAATCGTTTTTCTCGAAACTATTCATTATTCCTCTCTATGTTCCATAACAAACAAATAAATACACGTGTTTCTGTACTATTTTCATTTAAATCCACGTGCTTTCATTTCTTCTTTTTTCTTCACTCTTAGTTTACGGAAAACAATGTCATCGGAGCCTGTGGTGTAGTGCGTAGAGCGCTCGCCTGGCAATCCGAGGGCTGAGGGTCCACAGTTCGAATCCTGCTGGCAGCACTTATTAAATTTTTTTTTTCTTTTTTTTTTTTTTTTTTTTTTTTTTTTTTTTTTTTTTTTTTTTTTTTTTTTTTTTTTTCTTTTTATTTCAAATGACATGAAAACTTAAAAGAAAGGTGGAAAGACCATTAATTGTTCAGTGAACAATTAGTCTACTAGTTCTTCTTATTTTTCCGCCGTGTGATTTTGAGTTTCAAGATATATCGAGAAGATTTATAGTCCATAAGAATGTTCTCCGTATAAGATTATTGCAGTTGACCCTGCATAAATGAACCTTGATCCCTTTCGGAGTTACCTACCCTTTCGCAAGAAATGCTTGTTATCGCTACTCCTTCTAAACCGTAAACCATAGAGGTATGAAACCTTCACCAATGTCTTTGACTAATTAAGGGGACTCTTCAATCTATTCATTGCGAAAGCATTCGGTAACCCCTTCAATGAGTTATTGCCCCTGAATCTTTTTGAATTTTACAAATAATTAAAATTTTTTTAAACGACAAGTCGTAGAGACATGGGACCAACTGCATAAGATTCATTGACCCTTGACCTTAAAAATCATGTAAAGTTCAAAGGTCAAGGTCATTCCGAAAATGAGAAATTT